TATATATATATATATATGTGTGTGTGTGTGTGTGTGTGTGTGTGTGTATGCGTGTGTGTGTGTGTGTATATATATATATATATATATATATATATATATATATATATATATAAATATAAAATAAAGGATGAAGAGTAAGATTTCAGCGTTCAAAACATTAATTTAAAAACAGGGCTCACTACAACAGTAAACTAATAAATATTTATTTATTATGCACGGTTATATTAGAACATGCACATACCCACTACAAAACTGTACATATTGTTTCAACGTTAAACCGTTTCTGAATAAAATATTTTAATAGCATCGTGATTTCCCACCTGATGAAACGTAAAAAATTAACGTTGAAACAAGATATACAGTTTTGTAGTGGGTATATGGATGTTCTAATGTAACAGTGCTTAATATATATATATATATATATATATATATATATATATATATATATATACCCATACACAAACATATACGCATACTTATATGCACGTGTAGACCGGGGTAAAAAGCTGGGGAGAGATTTTCCTTCAGGCCAATTAAAAGAGATTGTGATGAGTTCGATTTCATTGCTGCGTACAATTTTTTTGACGTCTCTCTTCCATCTGTTAACGAGAAAAGGAATTAGGGATCAGAGTCAGGAGGTTGAGGTAGGTGAGGAGCAGAGCGTGAAATCATTTAGTTTTAACAGTATAGGTCTGAATATCCACTCTATGTAAATGCGTCACACGTGGGAGGCTGGAGGTAGTAGGAATTTGCCCTTGCTCTGGCCGAGGCAAGGACCTGTCCTACTAGACTGAGCAGGGGTGTAGGGTTCTCTATTCTTTTTTGGTTTTATCCTTTTTTTGTTTTGTATTTATTTTTTTGAATTTGCATGCAAAAGTCACAAAGATCATCGCTCACGTGCCAGTTTACCACGAGGCACAAACTTCCATTAAATGTAATTTGATTGACGATTAACATTAAATTAATGTGCAAGACAGAAATTAAAGAAATACAAGTAAGAAAGATGCTGATTACTTTACAATACTTGGTAAGATGAAAGAGAAAGTGTTTAAACTGTTAAAAGAATAAAAAAAAATTGAAAAAAAAATAGATTGTCGAAAACACGTTAAGACCGGCGAACTAGGAATAAAACTACGGAAACAGGAGAAGCCTAACGCAGCACCGAATTTGAAATACAATAGGCTCCTGATCGACTCGAACTTGAAAGAAAGATATATGAAGAGTATGAAAGGATGGTATGAGGGACAAAATGGAAACTTGAAGTGGAACACACTAAGAGAAGTTTTAGTGACATCAACAAACGAGATCATCCCAAAAGAAAATGGACGAAGACGAAAAAACAAATGGATGACAGATGAGATTCTTGACATGATGCAAAGCAGACAGAGAGAAAACAATGCCAAGACACGGAACAGAATACAGAAAACTGCACAAATAAATCACGAACAAATGCAGACAGGCTGAAGAAGAATAGGTCAACGAAAATTGTACAGAACTTGAAAGTATGAGTAACATAGATGAAGCAGATATGCATGAAAATAAGAGAACTAACAGGACAAAAGACATACTCATCAACAGGTTTGCTTAAAACCCAATGACGGAACCCTGATATTAGAGAAAGAAAAATACTTTCGATATAGAACGAATATACAGGTAAACACTTCCACGACGAAAGGGGGCAACGAGCAAGACACCAGAAATATCAACGGAGCGGAAATATTAAAAATCGAAGTGGAATTTGCACTGGCCAAATTGAACAGAAACAAAGCGGCAGGGCCAGACTGAATTATAAACGAGACGCTGGCAGCCTTAGACGATTTAGGGATAGGCATGATCACAGAAATGTTAAATGAAAGCTGCAACAGTGGTGACATAACGGAAAACCTAAGCAGATCTATTTTCATAGAAACCTGGCGCAAACGAATGCGAATTCCACGGACAATCAGCCTGATGAGCCACAGAACAAATTCATTTTCCGAATTCTGATGAAGAGAGCAGCAGAATCAGGACAAGAACAGTGTGGGTTCGTCAAAGACAGCGGAACAAGGAACGCTCAAAATAATTTCAGAAAGTGTAATACCAATGCAGAAGGACGTATCTCTGTGTCTTATAGAGTACACGTTCGACAAAATAGATCACAAAAATCTGCTAGAGGTGTTCAGCAATCTTGACATAATCAGCAATCTTGACATAATCTTGACATTAGAATAATTAAAAAATCTATACTGGCAGATATACAAAAATAAAAAGGGGTATAAGACAATGATATATCGTCTCACCGGACTTATTCAACCTATACAGCGAGGCAATTCTGGGAAAAATGGAAATCCTAGCAGGATTCATTATTGGCAGCCACTAACTTAATATAATATATGCAGATGGCACAAAGTTGATAGTAGACACAGAAAGGAAACTATAAAACTGATGTAATGTATATGCATACACCTGGGTTCCCTCTCACAGTAATATGATTGGCTGGTGTCAGCCATAAATACAGACTGATGTGGAGGCATATGAACTACGTATATTGCCTATGCCTATTGCCTACCACTCCGACGAGGACCAATCCATTACGGCTACCTGCTAGATTGTCCTACCCGGTTACAGTAGCACCAAACCACTTTGCTACTTCGAACAAATATATCCCTTTCTGGGACATATCAAAAACCTACTACAGTAGGTAGCGAAGGAAAGCGAGAATAAAGGACTAAGCATAAACTACAACAATGCAGAATGCATGGTTATCAGCAAAAAGATGAGCCCAAAATACAAATTACAGGTTGGGAATACTACTTTACTTACTAGTACTATAACTATCTGGGAAAGGTTCTGAAAGAAGGCGGAAAATGCTATACTGAGATCCGAAGACGCAATGGGATGGCCAAAGATGTATCCCAAAAGCTAAGCAGAGTATTAAGAGAGAGAAAAAATTCGTTTGAAACAAAGAAAAGAAACAAAGAAAAGAGTACTGAACTGTTACATGATATCTGTCCCCCTGTATGGAAGCGAACGCTGGACAATCTCTTAAAAGATGAAGAAGACATTTGAAGCAAAATAAATGTAGTTACTGAGGATACCATGGATCGGACATATGAAAAATGACGAGGTTTTGAAGAAAATGTATACAAAATAGAAACTTATACTTAATATCTGGAAGAGGCAGTTGAAATTTCCGGGGCATGTAAAGAGGAAGGAGGGCTTGGAAAATCTAATACTGACATTGGCAGAGGAACAGAGGGAAGCAGGCCACAATGTGCTAACCGTATTCGGAAATTAAAAACAGCTGTCGTTTTTCATGAAACATATATATATATATATATATATATATATATATATATATATATATATATATATATAATTATTTATTTAAAAATATGATTCCATCGCTACATAAATAATAATTATATTTAGGCTCTACTTTTGTATCGAGCACTGTTTTCAAAAAAAATGACAAAAAATACTAAAGAACTTTGGATTATTTACTTAACGAGTTCTTTCCTATTTTCTACATATTTTCACACACACACACACACACACACACACACAAACGCGCATATATACATATATATATATGTGTATATATATATATATATATATATATATATATATATATATATATATTTATATATATACACACACACACACACACACACACACACACACACATATATATATATATATATATAATCTTTATTGTTAATGTGACCGTTATTTTAGTAGGTACAGTGTTTGAGTTGATGTCGCTGTTTTTTATTTACTTAAACAGTGAAATACATACCAACAGACCGAGGTCGAGAAATCCCACTAAAGAAAAATGTGCTTTCAACCACATATAACCTGTTTCAGTCAGGGAAATCACTCTAGTAGATAGCAGGTGGAAATCATAGTGTTAAATACATATAGTTTGGAACAAAATTTTTGATACAACCTGTATGATCGGAATTATTTATTTCAGACTATAATAGTTAAAATGAAGTTGAAAACATCAACAGTGATTAAGTTGTTAAACTTAGCTTAGTACGACACAACCCTACATTATAAAAAAATAATGGGATGTTGGCAGGTGCGGTTAATTTAAAAGTTATTGATTCGTAAAGAGAAATCGGCGAGCTGGGTTCGAATTCCAGTCGAATTCGTTATGCTTTGGGAAAGGTATAAACTAAGCCTTTCTCTCCAAAGTTATGGGTTTAATAGTAGGGTAGATTGTTCTCTATAGCCTTGGTTTGGAACCGGTGTAGGAGGAGGACAACTGAATTCAAAACCAACTTCAAGAGGAATGAGCTCCGTCAGTCTAGACACACCCCTGATGCTACCACTGCAGTAAATGTGCTACAGCAACGATCCTCGTGGATCATGGGACTCGTAGACCTGGCGTGAGAGATTGTAAAACGCCAGTATTTCCAGTGGCGTGTGTCTGATTTGAAAATGTCTTTTTACATGGATTTGAATTTTGAACTCTGTAAATGTTTTAGGTACGAGACAAGCGGTTGTCGACAATGAAGCTAAGAAAGATTTATAGCGAAGTTTATTTGTTCTTTTCAGCTCTTTCTTTACAATTAGTTTTAACATTTCTACTTTCTAACTGAATTTGGTTTTAATCATTCAAGATTTACTTTCAGAATATCAACAATAACAGAGTTAAGGTCTTACAGCGATATTAAACGGAAATTCATTTAAAAAAAATTGACTAAGAGAAACAAAGCGATCAGAAGAATGATTGCTTTATTTTACTAATATGACTATGCAAAAAATATGCGTGTTTTTCATACTGGCAAATAAATAATAATAATAATTAACTATTGTATCTAATCACAGAAAAAGCTGATTAACGCCAAATCAAAGTGTACACTCGATTTCAATAGATCAAGTCATCTTCCAATTCCTTAGACATAAATCTCTATCTCTCCCGAGGATCAATATTTGGAATTAATTGTTGTTAATAACATAGATGCTAGATTCATTTACCATATGGCGGTTGTCATAGCGGTTATAAGAGTATAATGACGTCTCTCTGTAATCAAATCACCGTCTGGACTCGTACTGACAGTCTGGTAGCGATCATTCCTTCTCCCTTTAATGCTGTCAACATCTGGTATGGCGCGAATGAGCCCTTCTTGCTTTCTCATTGAAGATCCTTGTTCATTAAGGAGACGCGCTTATAATGACACGAATTGGTGTTTGTATCATTTATGTTTTAAGAGGAGAAATAGCAACTTCAGTTAGTTTTTGTGGATCGTTTAAGTAGCTTCAGCTCCAAACCAGAATACAAAAAAAAAAAAAAAGAAAAGAAAGAAAAAATCATATTATACTCTATTTTAAAACTCAATTAAATATTCATTATATTTAGTGACCTTGTAACCATTCGTGTGCGCGTGGTGTAACGAATATCGGCTCAGAAATTGAAATCGGCAAAGCGAGTACAGTTCGAATTCTGCCTTGTCTGCAGCGTTCACTTTCCTATAAATTTCTCCCCCTTTACAAACTATTATTTAAAAAGCAGGGTAGACTGTGTTCTCTAGCCTTGGATGGCAAATATTCTAAGAGAACGTAAAACCCTCAAGTTCGAACCGTGTAGAAGACAACGGGAAAAACATTCCCTATTTTTTTTTTTTTTTACCCAAATTGAAGGCAACGGAAAACCACTTGACTATTTTCCCCAATAAATCAAGATAATAAAATAACTTTCTTTTGTTTTTAAACGACTTGGAGGAACTTAAACTTATTTGCTGGAAGGAATGTAAGAATAATTAGTCACAGATATTACTTGAAAGGTAATAGAACATACAGTGAATGAGAAATGAGAAAAGAAACTCAATTGAAAGAGAATTAAACTTGTCAGTTTATCCCTAGAGCAAGTCATTTAAAGAGAAACGACTTCGAAATTCCACCATAATAATTCTCGTTTCTCACGTGACAGGTAGTCCTTTACCCTCAGAATCTTTTTTTTTTCAGGTTCAGATGTTTACAAATAAAAGAGTTAGTTATTAGTAATTTAAAATTTTCTCTCCAGTATTTATCTCAGATATCTATAATGCTTTGAATATTGCTGCCACATCTGGTCTCGTGCTCCTGTTATATATTTAGAGATTTTTTGATAAAATCCAAAAAAGATTCTAACCTGAGATCTTAACTTCAGTCCCTTTCTCACTACCGTAATAAAGCTTCCCTGTGTCTTTTCTATAAACACTTTTATCGTAATTCTTCTGATGAACTTTCTGTTTTGTTTCTTAGACTTTGAATTTAAGCTCAATACTAGATTAGTGGTAAGGTCTCATCATTTTACAGTTGAAATGTCGAAATTTAACCGTAAATTCTATGCTAACAGTTTCTTCTGTAGCACTTCTCTCTTTTGAAACTGTCTTCTGGCTTCTAGTTTCCCAGTCAACGTTGATCTTCAAATATTTAAGTGCAATGCGAATCTTTACTTTGTCTTCTTAATTCTTATTCATTTATTGTCTTTTCTTATTCATAGTAATTTTTATGATATTCTCTAGCATTCAGTAATCGCTTGAATCCTCGTAGCTGCATTGCATTTGTATTTTGGTATTTTATCATTTGAGTCATAAATCATTTTTAATTTGGGAATATGAACCAAAAAATCATTGAAGGAGGAGTTGGAGTTTAAATATTTATTCAACTGATTTTACGAGAAAACAGATTTCATTTAGGTGTACACTTAAATAGTAGAAAAAAAATCATCTCATCGACCTCAGAGCTCTTTCACCTTGAAGTTGAAAAGTTTGAGGCCACTCCTGGTAATTTTTTAAAATTGGCCCCCAAAGTATTTGTTTTGTACTTTAAATAAGAGAAAATACATGGTTAAAAAATTAGAAATTTTTATTATGACAAAAAGAAAAAAATATGATTAAATGTTGCTCTCGTCAAAATAGCCTCATTTAGTCTTGATTACTATAGCACAAATATTTGGCATTAATTGCAAAAGTTTCTAATAAAAAAGTATAATTTTTTTATAATTGATTCCATTCTTTTTTCAATGACTCTAAGAGCTGTTTTTCGTTACTTTTTTCACTCTCCTGCCAATTTCATTCCACGCTTATTCTGGTGGTGGTTTTAAACTTTTGAACTGAAGTGTATCTTCAGTAAATTAATAAATATTTCTTATCAGTCCTCTCCAAGCCTCTCTGACCTGTGCTAACTCATGAAAGTGTTGCAGATCTTTCAGGCTCTTCATTTTGTTATTTTTATTGAGAATGATGGAATTTTATTGATAGTCGTTTTGATGTCATCGTTCAATGTGTATCCGATGGTTGTTCGAAGTATTCCTTTCAATTAATATTAATTTTCATCATTGTATTTAGAGATTTATTCTTACAGTTTGAATGTATTCATATTTCTGCTTGTTTTTCAGGTGCAATCCGTCAGAAAAAGTGAATCATTGATCCCATATTTCCCTTTACACGTAGAAGAATTTTAAGCGCCCGAGAAATGGTGGATATAAACGAAAACTCGTTCTTTTAGCCGAAAAATAATGAGAGTAACACTCTCCTCTGTTCCCCTCTCTCTCTCTAGCAATTTATTTGTTTTACGAATGGCCACTCTATACAAGGCCTAAGAGACACTCAAGGTAGAGGGTTACTAAAGGAGGCTGTTTAATGAGTGATAATAGTAAGAGGCAAGAAGCGCAATTTATGAGGATATGTGTGTGGTAAAGGTAACGGTTAATTCTGAACTTGAAGAGGTTAAGATTGTAGCAATCGGGAAAGAAAACTTTTGTGGGCCTATTCCACAAAATAGTGGTTAATGGAATGCGAAAGGAATGAGGACGATTCGACTCGGTGGATGTAGTATGGGTTAGGGTTTTCGTTGTGATGATTAGAATTCATAACTAAGGAGTGTAACTCGTCAGAATATTTTTACAGAAATAGAGATCTAGTATTGAGAAGCTTATCTATCTATCTATCTATCTATCTATCTATCTATCTATCTTATTTATATCAGACATTCCACATGTATGTATGTATGTATGTATGTATCTATGTATGCATATATCTCACGCTATCCCCTTCACTATCTCTTCATATCTATCTATCTATCTATCTATCTATCTATCTATCTCAGGTTATCCCTTTCACTATGTCGGTCACTTCATATCTGTCTGTCTATTTATTTATATCAGTCAGTCCACATTTATCTATCTATCTATCTATCTTATTTATATCAGTCAGTCAACATCAATGTATGTAAGTATGTATCTCAGGTTATCCCTTTCACTATCTCGGTCACTTCATATCTGTCTATCTATATTTATTTATATCAGTCAGTCCACATCTATCTATCTATCTATCTATCTATCTATCTATCTATCTATCTATCTTATTTATATCAGTCATTCCACATGTATGTATGTATGTATGTATGTATGTCAGGCTATCCCTTTCACTATCTCTTCATTATCTATCTATCTATCTATCTATCTATCTATCTATCTATCTATCGTAGTCTATTCATATCGATGTAAATTTCAGCATAAACACCCATTACCCTCTGTCTCTCTCTTTTTCAACCCAACTCATTTTTACGCGTATGCATATGTAGAGACACAGTCGATAGTACAAATCCGTAGAGAAATAGATTTCATACAATCATTTAGTTACAACACATTAGCTATTTCCATGCAATATGAACTTTGCTGATCGTAGGTATAGAGTTTTGATATTTTTTTTATTTCTCTTCTTGAAATTTCCTGTAAGCCTTACGGAAGGTTAAGACTTTTGCTCACCTCATTTGTTTGGAAAAAAGTAAGATAAAAAAAAATAAAAAAACACCTTTCAAAGTCAACTATTAATCAAAAGAGTCTTTCTGTTACTTGACTGAGTCCCCAAGCATTTGGAAGATTGTATTTTGTTTTGCACGGCCGCAAGATGTTTGCATGATTAAAATAATACCCTGCTAATTTACTGCAACCTTTTTATTTCATTTGTGCGCACATTTATGAAATAAAATAACAAAGGAAATAGAATAAAGATGACAGACCGTCTACTATTTTTTACTTCATTTCGCACACCAGCTAAACAAGTAAAAAAAGGGAAGTAAAAAAAAAAACAAAACTATTTCTTCTTATTTGCGTTCATTCATCTATCTATATTTCTACTACACTGTACGCATCTATCTATCTATCTATCTATCTATCTATCTATCTATCTATCTATCTATCTATCTATCTATCTCAGGTTATCCCTTTCACTATCTCGGTCACTTCATATCTGTCTGTCTATTTATATCAGTCAGTCCACATCTATCTATCTATCTATCTATCTATCTATCTATCTATCTATCTATCTATCTATCTAGTTCACTGCTCGTATCTATCTATCTATCTATCTATCTATCTATCTATCTATCTATCTATCTATCTATCTATCCTCTTCACTGCTCGTATCTATCTATCTATCTATCTATCTATCTATCTATCTATCTATCTATCTATCTCAGGTTATCCCTTTCACTATCTCGGTCACTTCATATCTGTCTGTCTATTTATTTATATCAGTCAGTCCACATCTATCTATCTATCTATCTATCTATCTATCTATCTATCTATCTATCTATCTATCTATCTACTTCACTGCTCGTATCTATCTATCTATCTATCTATCTATCTATCTATCTATCTATCTATCTATCTATCTATCTATCAGGTATTTCCCAATCCTTCGATTTCACAAACGCCAGATATGCTGTTTTTTTTTTTTAACTAGGTATAGCCCTGTGTATCAGAGTAGCCTTCAATGACAACAGACGTAAGAAACATATAGTAAATAAAAAAAAACCAGAACAACCTGTAATTCTGGAGTTTGAGGTTATATCAGCATTGGTCATCATTAAGAAGAACAAAACGGAAAGAGCAGATGAGGTTGTCATAAAGACGCTGAGAGTTTTAGACTATTTGAGGATTGAGATTATCATCAAAGTGAAATATACAACAACGGTGAAATACCGGAATACTTCAACAGATCAATTTGCACAGCGCTGTAAAAGAAAGCAGATGTGAACATAAAATCGCATAAATGATCATGAAAATTCTAAAAAATAAATCTCGTAGCAGAATTAGACCAGGAATATATCAAGAATAGCACAGCATTTTTTGGAACGAGAAATATTATTTTCATGGTCAGTATGTTATCAGAACGAGCAAAGACATTCATACAGTATGGTACCAGAAACTTCTTGAAGTATTCGAAAATCTCGATTTACAAGAGAAAACATACACAGGTAATATTTAGGAACAATTAGCTTGCATAAGAGAAGAAGTTTAGTTAATACACAAAATTAGAAAGATGAGTATGATAAAGATGTGTTTTTTTTTCAATATATTTAATCTGTACAGCGAGACAATTCTAAGAGGTGTCTAAGACTTATCAGGAATAATCATCGGCGAACCAACATTAACAACGTACGCCAAGTAGATAACACTGTGTCGATGGGAAATTCAGAAGGGAAACTGAAAGGACTATTAGACAGAGTAATCGAGGAAAGCAAGAACAAAGGAATAACTATTAACTGTAAAAAAAGAAAATTCATGGTTGTCAGTAAAAAAAAAACAGCAGAAGGGACACTAGAATCAAGTAGATGAAGAAATGTACTTGTTTGGGTAGGAAGTAATGTAGAACCATGTTTATCCACTTCTAGAAAGAACATGGCATATAAGAGAAGTGTTGTACACGGTACGCTTGTTCTATAATTTGATGTAGGACTTCTGTCGGAGAACTTTGCATAGCTATATGTGCTCTGTATTAGCATTGAATTAACTGATTTTTACATAATTCAGACTTGTTCTCCGCCTAGACTGATTGTCAACCAAGGCTAGAGAGCCCAGTCTGCCCTATATCATACATAACTATATATATATATATATATATATATATATATATATATATGTGTGTGTGTGTGTGTGTGTGCGTGTGTGTGTCTACGTGAACATAGATGCAAATATAAATTCTTCTAGAAAGAAAGGAAGAAAGTTGAATTTTACTAATATTCTTGGATATTTATAAACGTACCGGCATCTTCTTTATCTGATATATATATATATATATATATATATATATATATATATATATATATATATTCTTATTTATATATATATATATATATATATATATTCTTTATCTTATATATATATATATATATATTCTTTATCTTATATATATATATATATATATATAAGATAAAGAAGATGAAACGCAGATTTACTCTACACTTTTATGACCATAGCTCAATTAGATCTCATTTAAATATTCATGGAGTCCTACCGGACACTATTCGTAACATACTTGTTGACAACACTAATATAATATCATCATCTACATTCAAAGAAAAAAAAAAGGCTAAAAATAATGGAAGCCTTATTAATAAAAACAAAAAAACAACACTATGAACATGGACACAATATCTTGACCGTATTCTGAAAAATGAAAACATTATATATAAATACATACATACAACAAACTATTTCTTATTTAACATTTAAAATATTTAATCATTGAAAATGGCTAAAGGGAAACTGAAAAGCGCTTCAAAAAAAGAACATTCTGACAGTTTTTAAATAATTTATCATTTGAAAAGAAAAAAAATATTAGATTGCATGAGATATTTTATAAAAAAACTAAATAAAAAGCACATTGTCTGTCGTATTAAATGAAATGTGCATGAAAGAAGGATTGCCGCCTAAATATACAGACACACACACACACACACACACACACACACACATATATATATATATATATCATAGCTGGCCACGCGTATTCGAGAATGCCCGTTTACAGGGCGGCTAGGCAATCCCTATTGCAGACGCTCGCTTAGGCCCATTTGTGTGTGCTAAACACCCAAAGAACCGACATGTGGTCTATACTGCAACTATGCTAAGCAGACCTTAGTTACAGTTTCTGAGAGGGAGCGTGTTATCTAGCGTGATCACCAATTTGAACATGACCATCACAATCAAGCCCTGGGCCACGATGACTTGTGGCTTTGTGCTAGCTCAGTTATCAACGCCCCCACAAGTGTTCCGTCTACCCAATTTCACTCACAAGTCTTGGATCAAACCGTAGTATTGTTTTCAGGCACTCGCCAAAGGTGCCGCACGCTGGGATCGACCTCAATCCATTTCGATGACATAAGGAAGTTTCCTTCCTGACAAATCGATCATAGTGAGATTTGAACCCAGGTCTCATGGTCAGAAAGCGAACGCTTTAACCACGTACGCTTATATATATATATATATATATATATATATATATATATATATATATATATATATATATATATATATATATATATATATATATATATATATATATATATATATATATATATATATAATCGTATAATCGTACAGTGCATACATATGGAAATGTTTATGTATCAACACATAAACAAATCAATTTATATGCGTGAAGATTAAAAAAGAAACAAATTTGATTTAGCGCCCTCAGATCATGACATTAATTATTTACGACCTTTAGCGATGGTTCCAGTTACGAAAGCATTTAACTATTTTTCGCTTATATATATATATATGTATGTGTGTGTTTTACACACCCCAGGTTTTACTTTGTGAAGTGTCGCTGCCGTTTCCTGCCAAATTAGATATTGCTCTCTTGTTTGTTCCTGTTCGTCCGCACCCACACGTACGCCCATTATTAGATGTATCCCCCTTTGAATTCCTCTTTTACTCTGCTTTCATCACTGCCTGTCTGTCTGTCTATTTATTTATCTATCTCGATTCATCTGAATTTGTCTATTCGTTTCACGCCGACCCACACAACCCATATATCCAGACGTCATTATATGATTCCTTTTTGATTAAATGATTCGATGCCTTTCTCGGCTAACAACATTCGGAAAATGCATTTGCCCTGAAGGGTGTGACTATAGTCTCTGCAAACGAAGCAAATAAAACCTAGTTATTTCTTGTTTTGTCATAGAGCGAATATTAGTGCGTTTTCTTAGCCTGTGAAGGTCCTTTGTTGGATGTAAGCTTTTCTCAGATCACGTGAACTAATGAACCGTTAACCCCTACTGCTCTGGCCCAATACGAATTGTTAGGAGCGGATGTGACACGCGTTGGCGATCATGTCTTTTTTCGATTTATGATCGCCCAAATGTATATCCGCCTAAGGGAATGTAAAGTTTGGTTTATTTTGTTTTACGGCAATCAACCTCAATGGGTTATTTAATGCCGACAATTTTTATTGCTGGTATTTTTTTTTCTTAAAAAAAAAATGTATTTCTGGTAATATTTTTTTAACCAAGTATTTCTGGTATTAAAATCTATTTTTTCACTTTCATTGTGTTTTGACCCTAGTTTGGAGGTTAAATATTTGCCCATAGCTAGGAACCTAACAGGTGTTACCAACTCGGGTCAGGGTGGATCTGGGAACACCAGCAATTAAGAGGTTGTTCCACGCTCCTCAAAACCTTCTGATCAGAGGCTTTGCTGTTGTACGTAGTTTATAGTCTTACCCTGTACGCGGATGTAGTTTATCGTCATACCCAGAACGAGGAATGTAAGTAGCACGAATGGTATTCGAACACGGCTCTCCGATTTCTCATTCCAAGACTTTATCTGTTATACTAAATGCACATCTAAGCTTACAGCTCTGGAATTCCCAAGCTGTTACTGATCAACTGACCAAGTACTGACCAATTATTGATCAACTGCTTAACTTTGGTGATCGGCAGTGGATTGGTGTTTTAGCGTGATATAGCTATAAACCCGTATATTAGTTCAGTTTTCGTTATTTCTAGAGCAGAACAAGTGAAGTGAGCTGACAGCATTCATTTTCTTATGTTTAGTAATCGTAATATTAACTGTTTGGTAATGGTCTAGCCGTTTCTTTGTAAGGAAATATTCAGCATTCATTGACTGAAAAGCTTACACAGCTTTTGGGTTAAAACTTTATAAACTCTTTCTCTTAAAACAATTTTTTTTAGGGAAATAGGTTTCCAAAGCTCAGTAGCTGTTATTGTTCTTTCCAGTGGGCAACTCGGCGTGGTGTAATGGTTAGCAAGCTTGTCTCGCTAGATCAGTTACAACTGAAAAGTGAGTTCGGTCGTCACTAGATGCCCCATACTTTTGCCACATCTAAACTATGCTTGGAAAATAACTATTGCTCTTTCCAGTATTAATGGGGGTTTCCTTCCTAACCTTTTATTTGAAGTAATGTGGAACATCTTGATTATGTAATTATTTTCGTTTCGTTACGAGTTACATGTGATATCCATTTCAGTTTTTGTGGTGGTCGAAAATCATCAAATGATGTGGTCGCTGTTATTTCGTACAGTTCTTTATTTGTGATTCTGTAGGGCCAGTTCAAAATGCCCGAAGAAGGATTGTCTTCACCTAGACTCATAGGTCATTTTAAATCATTGATCTGCGAGAGCGATTGCATAAAGATGACGGTTTAGATATTTCTGAACGGGTTTGTTGTCATGTATGGCATCCATATGAAAGATTCGATTTTACGAGGCTATTTAAGAACTTGATTCAATTTTACGAGGCAATTTAAGAACTTGATTTCGGTTTTGTAGCAATTGGTCGTGTTGGGTGAAACTATCTCTAGCGCGGCCTATTCTATATTCAATTTCCTTATCTTCACTACTAAATTTGTTATAACTGTTTACATTATTTACATTATTTACATTATTCGGACTGTTATCCTCATATATCCTGGTATTCTCATCTTCATTGCCAAATTCACGACGTTTCAGGCGTTGTAAGCTCCGAC